TATTATGTATTTAATTTCCTATTGATAGTATTTTATTGACGTCTACCACCACTCCAACCCTAAACCTAATCGTCACAGTAACGTAAAAACAGTAGTTGTACAGAGTATTACTTATGCTATCTATTAAATTACCCAATAAATTGTATTTTTTAATGCCTACCCCCACCCCAAACCTAAACGCAACTGTCACAGTACTGTAAAAATATTAAGTATTGTTATAGAGGTCGACTGTATATTGGATCTAGACTTTACCCCTGTTCCTGGAGATCTACCTTTCTGCAGAGTTCAGCTCCAGCTCTGATCAAGCACCTGAACCAATTAATTAGGATCTGAACAGCACTTGATAATTACAGGCAGGTGTGTTTGATATGGGTTGCAACTGAAATCTGCAGGAATGTAGATCAGGAACAGGGTTGGTCACCCCTGTCTTAGCTAGTCCAGAGAAAAATCTGAGGCAGAAGAGACACTTTGGAATAGGACAGTGGTTATGCGCAAGCAAGGAGCTTGGACTTATTGATAAAATAGTAGTTCATAATATTACCTGAGGAGAATTTTGGAAGTCAGAACCAGCAAGACACGTGCTCCTGATCAGCTCAGCCTGTCTGCTGTGTCTGAATAGAGCTACACTAGAGCACATCATAACCTGCTGCTTGAATGAACGGGTGCTGTAGATAGACATGAACCTTTGTTATACTATAGAAATAGATATACAAGGCCTTTAGGGTAATATCTTTGCAAAAGTTACACATTATTTTACCTATGGCATTTATATTGATATCGTAAAGCTAAATAGTACAAATTATTACCTGAAAAGTGCTTAAGTGTTCATTCATTCATTTTCTTTTCAGCTTAGTCCCTTTATTAATCCGGGGTCGCCACAGCGGAATGAACCGCCAACTTATCCAGCACATGTTTTATGCAGCGGATGAACTTCCTGCTGCAACGCATATCTGGAAAAAAGTACTAAAGTGTACTTTTAGAAACCACAGCCAAATTCTTAGAGTATAATTTACTCAGCTCAGAAATTATTTGACCCTCTCTAAACTGAGTTAAAGTAACTCAGCAGCGGAGTTTAAAAAAATGAGACAATCAATTGATTGTTTAAGTGATGATTGAGCACTGATGATGAACACCTGTTAACAAGCAGAATCACGGAGAAACACAAAACTACATCTGAGTTCAAAAAACAGCAGCAGCTTCACTTATAACTAACATGTTTGATTTGATTTCTGCCAGATGTCCACAAAAGTCCATATGAGATTTATTGAGAATGAATTGCTTTAGTTATTTACGTGTTACAAAAAACAAGAGATTTTTTTTTACATCACCATCGTGGAGAAGAGTGGTTGATTTACTTGGGCTCTTTGACTAGATTTCAAATGTTACGTTTTCTTTGCTTGGTATATAGCAAGTGTAAAGTGATCAGATTAACTGATTCTTACTGTTGATGAGTTTACTTTGCATGGTTTATCACTTAAGATACAAAATTCTGTGTATTTTAAGAGAGTGGAACTCAACTGTGGATTTATAATTTTTTAAAAACGCATTAAACAGAAGTGCATTAGAGACACATACATCAAGAATCAGCATGTGCATTTCAACAGTGGTGAGATATTTTTGCTGTGTTGTTTTTATTCTTGTAAATTATTACTCAGTTTTATATCATATCAATTTTGAGTTAATCTGTTAATTCCCAATAATATCACTATTTGAAATTTTGTAGTGTAAGGCCAAATAGGTTGTAATACGTACTGTAAAGCAGCTGTTTGAGTTCCCTAATCATACTCTAGTGAGATTTTGAGAGATTGACTGTGTTTAATTTCAGTTGATTTCATCGAACTGTGTCTGAAGTCAGTTGTAGTTTTGTGTTTCTTTTCTGCATATCTGATTATTAACAAGTGTTCATCATCAGTGCTCAATCACCACTTAATTAATCACCTTCATTATCTCATTATTTTTAATTCTGCTCTGGAGTAACTTTAACTCAATTTAGAGAGGGACCAAATACACTCTGAGCTCTTGAGTGCACTTTTGAGTTAGCTGCAGGGTTGTAGGTACTTCTCCCTGCCAACCATTGCAGCTGCCCTTTATGGGGTAACATGCCCCAATTATTGTCCTTCCTCCATAGACACATCTGGTAACATGCCTTTTCTTCCTCCTCTACCATCTCCTTAATTGCTCTCCTCAGTCTCATCCTAGATGCACAAGCAACACAGAGATGAATTACAGACTTCCTGACAAATCCCCTGCACTCAACTTCTACAGGATGGACTGTCACTGTCCAACCTCAAACTCTGCATTCCGTTGCTAAGTTAGAGTTCTTGTGCTGCTTGAACTAATGCACCGCTGTCATTCCCGCTTCCTAAGGCAGAGTGACAGTAAATTTTGCTAGGATGATTTTGTTGTGTGTGTACTGCCCTAGTGACAGCGTTTGAACTTTTATTTTAGAGAGTGTAAGATCTTTGCCTAAACAAGGTTTTTAGATTCAGCAATTGACTGATAGGTTGATTCAAAGTAGAAGTCAAAAGTTCATTGATCTAAGCAATGCAATGTTAAGTTTGAACAATTTTGCGAGTATACCGGTCTAAAGGCCAATTTATATATCTGCATTAGAGGTAAGTCTGCCGTAGCCTTTGCAGTCTTGTAGACTCTTCTCCGTACCCTGACATAGATCCTGATGTGCACCGCTCCAAAAATTTTACTATATGATGCAATGATGTGGAGGGCAATATCTGTGATTGACCAGCTTAATGGCGGTAACAAGCGTTAGCAGGAAGAGAGCTGTGGCAGTGGAGAGAGGCTGAGCTCCAAGTGTTTAACAAGCAATGAGTCCCATGGAAGAGCTCTACATTGTTACATTTGTTTTGTGATTATTTATGATCAAATTTGTGTAAATGTTCTTTGGCTTCTGCCTCTTTCTTGTCAAAATAAAGGTGAGTTTGAGCTACTTAGCATAGCTACAGTAGCATTGCACACATATGTGATGTAAACACTGGCAAAGACACTCAAAACAGTGGATCATAGGAATTCTAATGCCTACTATTACATGTACATGATCATACTGTATTAGTGTTACAGCCATATAATCAGAACTTACAGGTATAAATGCTCACAATGGCATCAGCTACATGAAACGTGTGCACCATGGAGTGCAGTGATCACATGACAGAAGTTAAATCAGACTTTAGAGTGTAAGAAAGAAAAACTTCCTAAGGATTGAAGAGAAATGGCTGAGGTGGGCTGGATGGGATTTTAGTCATTACATCAGACGTTCAACCTTCTTGGTATTAAAAGGTTGCAGAAAAGAAGATCCACCAAAAAAATAATATTAGATTTGAGCTATAATGAAGCATAAAACTTCAAGTGAGTTAATCACTGACCATGTTTCCAACGAACCCCAGTTGATGTTTCAAGAAATGAAGGTTCATGTGTTTACAGTTTCACTGCAGGCAAATCGCATTTTACACTCTTGCATAGTCCCTATAGTACGACTGCCAAAATTTAACAGGCATTTACAGTAACAATAGTCCAAAACTAGACTAGTCATCAAATAGAAAGATTAGACAGACTTCACATATGTAATAATTAATTCCTGACTATTATTAGACATATTTTAGACTTCTTTTAAACAACCAAAATAATGCTTGCATGTAGTAAGTTAAATAGTTACTCTGGGTTAAATGTACGTCCATCGAACATATTTTATATAAAGTGTTATTCTGTTGAGAAGAAACATCCACAAGAACATCTTGTCTCTTTCCACTACAGTCTAGTTCCTGAAAGGGGATTGTGCTGTTTCCTTGGTCACACTCTTCAACTTAATTTTGTTAGGAACTGCCACAAGTTGACAGATGAATCTTTGGAAACGAATGGTAACGACAGGCTGTATATTACAGAACGTGCTGTGTAAGTTCTCGGGAGCTGGACTTGTGCATTTACCGTGTGTAATCTGTCACACATGCAGGTTTATTATCTGCAGCGCAGTGAATCTGTTATTATCCTGCACCTTCATTCTCTGGCCTTGATGCAGGCAAGTAAATTCATACTGATAGTAGCACAGGGGTAATACACTCTTACTGCAAAATGCCTACTTGCATTTTCTTGCTCTGGCTCATCCTCGTTTTCTCTCTCTGTCAGCACTTTTACTGTGTTCCGTGTGAAGTTTGTCGCAAATCCCAACCCACTAGATATCAATAAATCTCATTAAAAACAATGAATTCCCTTTCATCCGGTTCATGGTGCACACACAGCTGTTATCACAGTACACATGCCGTGGAGTTACAAAATCTCAGTTATGTTTTAAACTGTTTATGGGATTTAGCACACTATTTCTGGATCTAAATGGCACGAGGCTATACTAGAATGCGAAACATACTCTATGCTCTATCAAGATATTCTATACATACAAACCATGTGTTTGTGTTTAACATATAGAAAAACACCATTTAGAAATAATACATTTGTTTTGTTTTGACCCCTTCAATGGAACAAACTATTGGAATAAGCATGGTTGGGCAACATTTATGTCCAAACCAATATTGTTGGAACAACATCATCTTTATTTTGTTCTAAAAATCCAGTATTGATTTGCGATTTGTTTAAAAGTGAATCCACAGTAAAATTAAGTGAACTTTGATGCTAAAATTAGAAGACAACATTCACTTCACAAATCCAAAGCATAAAAAATATGTATGTCAGTGGGACAGTACCTTTAAAGGACCATGAAACCCTCCTGTCTCAGCAGGGTGTTTCCACACCTCTAGATTAAAAAAAAATAAAAAAAAAACAGTCAGGAATGTTGGTCCAACAGCAAAAGAGTTTCATTATGTGTGGCATCTTTAGAGTTTCATTATGTGAGTCGTGTCTTTTTTTTTAAAAAAGAAGACGAGCAACAAATCCAGATTTCATTGTTTCCAGACTTGAAAAGCTCTTGGCCAAAAACCTTTCCTTACAAATGCATTTTTGTTGTATGTTGGCAGACCACTGTAATCCACATATGTGGGTCCACATGCAAGCTGCACTCTCATCACAGGGAAATGGAAACAAAACCTTTTTTGCGGCACATTTATGAACGCAACACTGACGACCCATGTCTCAGAACAACTCTTCTACTTCCATTTGTTTCAATTACGTTTGGGAACACAACGTGGTGTCTCTCTGAACACTGTCACAAGCAAAAACTGTTTCCCAAGCTATATTATGCACATTAATGACATCCAATATCCACACTGGAATTTACACAATGACCGTGACGTAGCTTCAAAATGTCTTTTCAAACCGGAAGAACGAATTTGCTGAAAACAATTTTCACTTTTAAGTGAAATATATGTGTCAAAATGGTGTTTTAGCAACGTAGGACGTACATATGACTGTCAACATCTCAAAAAATGTGTTTTGGTGTTTGATGACCGTTTAAGCACTTTTGGAGTTAAAGTACAACACAAAAAAATACAAATTGTGCACATCATGGTACAAAAATGCAACCTTAAGTTACCAATGTGGACCTATTAGGTAAAAAGGTGTAGCTTTTAAAAAGATACTGTCCCAGTGACAGGCTTTTGTATCTACATTTCTGAGAGTGTAGAGCAAAGCTATTCATTTACTGTTTAGCTTCAGCTCATGCATCTCTTTAACAATAATAAAACTATATTTTTTAATTCCTAAATATAACTGGTTAACCTGAAAGAGACAGCTGAGCTAAACTTTAGACAAAACTTAACATTAATATTTAACATTGTTTTTATAAATTGCATTCTGACCTAATTTTGTTCAGGCTTCTGCATTTGAAATTATATTTCAGTTACAAATCTATATCGAGAAATGGTATTATGCTAAATGAAGCCTGATCCAAAAGAAGTCCAGTGTTAGATCTAATATAAATATTTTATTTCTCTCTCTCTGTTTGTGTTTCTGTCTAGGAACCTTGGGAAATCTGGATTGAGAGTATCATGCCTTGGTCTGGGTGAGTATTACATCAAAACCTCTATTTCTACAAGCTGTAAGCGTTTGTTGCAGCTTATCAGCAGTTAGCAGCAGACACTGTTTTTGAAAAGTTTGGTTCTGTTTAACAGTTCATTAATCACGACGCCATGCTGACTTCTATCTAGCTTTTTTCCTCTTTTACAAAAACACACACTCACACACAATCTGGCTGTTGATGTCTGGGAAAGCAGGACTGGGACTTGAACAGTGGGATATATGAACGCAATTACAAAAGCTGAACTTCAGTAACCGGAGTGGGCCAGTCAGTTTCAGTACCGCAGAGACCACAAAAGGCAGACTCAGCTTTCAGAGTGAAGCAGACCAATGCTACAGGGACTCCATATGCCTGTGTGTGTCTTTTAAAATATGAGCACTCCAGTGTATGCGTGTTACTAAATATAAAATCACAGGGGAAGATAAATAGCTGTGAATGCGATGTTCATGTAGAAGACGCAGGTTTAAACCCAGCCTGTCTGGTCATAATCCCATTCTTCTTTTACTCACTCTCTCTCTCTCTCTCTCTCTCTCTCTCCTACCAACAATTGCCATTGTATACTGTGTCTGTCAATAAAAAAAGTGACAGAGCCCAAAATAAAACTGTCATATACATCATACACTCCTCTTAAAAAGGGGGAGGCTGGCAGTTTTGTTTTGATACTGTCATTCACAAAAAGAAAAAAGAAAAAAAAAGCTAAAATGTATAAAACTGCAGTAGACTCTTTGTAATCATTTTGTTGAATGTATTTAAAAGCTTCAAAAGATCATTAAAAACAAAGAAAAAGGCTTTTTTTTTTGAGGAATGACTCTCTTGGTTCTATTATAACGATCTAAACATTCTAAAGTGCGTGGCGCAAAAGCATTAATGGTGTGTTCGAATCCACTTTTGCTATTTAAAGGATAGGAAAATACAGTTTATGTCATGGCACATGGTATAACAGGATTGTGCTTATTCTCTTAATGAGTTATGGGTGTATTTTGAGCATAACATGCATTAAACCAATCAGAGTCTCATCTCCCATTGCCTTTGAAAGTCAGTTGTGTCGCACCATGGCACATTTGCTTTTAACATGGCAGACTTTGTAAGTGGAAAAGCTGAATGGAAAAACTGAACGCTTCACTAGTAAGAAAACTGACAGACCATTTGCGTGAGGATAAAGAATGAACCTTCTCTATTCGGCCTCTTTACTTTCTCTTTACTTTTACTCTTTTCTTTACTCCTTCACTTTCATGGATAAGGAAACGGTGTTGCACGCACTCCACTGAAAACATCCATAGCCTTCATATTTAATTTAGTTTGTTCAGCACAAATATTTGTTTCAAATGTGTTTCTCAATTTAGTTCTAATTTCAGCAAACAAATAAATAAACAACAATAATGAAGTGTGGTCAGAAAACTGAGTTATATCCAAACACACATCCTATTCCTTTGCCCCATATGGTTATGTATACTCTACAAAACCCAACAGGTGGACAAATATAAACTTGTTTTTATTAAAACAAATATAAATATTCATATAATAAATAATTCTTATAATAATAATAATAATAATATTATATTAAAAATGCAAATTGTCATGAATAAACTAATAAAAGCCCCCCAGACATGAAGGTGGACAATGTAGTACCCAATTACCCTGTTCAGCATGTCTTTGGACTGTAGGGGAAACAGGAGCACACGGAGGAAACCCACATGAACGCGGGGAGAACATGCAAACTCCACACAGAAACGCCAATTGACCCAGCCGAGGGTCGAACCAGCGACCTTCTTGCTGCGAGGCGACAGCACTACCTACTGCGTCACCGCATTGCCTTATATTTTTTTCATATTTAAAAATATTTGTGTATTACTGTACATCCTATGTGTATTAAGCATTAGAACCTGGATAACCGCATGACTAACATGCTCTGCGCTGGACTTTAGACCAGCCTTTTCCGCAGCCTATTTCAGCTTCACACCAACAATGCGCCTAACACATCTCCTTTATAGACCAGCACACCCATGAGTACACAAAGTGGCACAAATGGATTTGTTATTTAGTTGTGCTGGTCTGAAAATAGCAAAAACAAAAAAAAAAGTCATGTCAAACACGTCTTGCACCTTATTGCCCCGGGTGATAGGGCCCTCTGTTTTTACAGTAACAGTTGCGTAAATGATCCACTGAGTTGTTCATGATATGGATGCAGAGCAAAACTGTACTATTCAGTTTAGTGACAAGATTCAAATGTGTAGGTGATAAGAAATTACAAATTTATCCATCAAAGATGCAATAACAAGTCAGTTAAGTAGATTACTCAGTAACAATATTTTTTTTGTGGGACAGGTTACACCATGTATATCACTGAATTATTAATTGTACAAATCTGCAATAATCATTTAGGAGAACACATTCAAAATATGAACTTTTTAGTTAAAATGATTGATTTGTTTAAGAATGACTTTGCTTTTAAGGAATCAAACTATGAACCAATAATTTGCTCTTATGTAATTTGACTTGCAGAAAGGGTTGCTAAACCCTCACCACAGGGATAATTATGAATAATTAGTTGTAATTGCTATATTAAACACAAGAAACATGTATTGCCAGGAGACCTTTAAATGAAGTGTTACTGAATTGACTAATTATAATGAATCACGCTCTATTTTAAAACTAATCAGTTAAGTCAATGAATCAGTTACTCTCTGATAATGTCACCCCTCCTACAGTAATGGTCACTGATCATATCACCAAATGAATCTGGACTAGCATTTTGGTGAATTGATTCCATCGATTCATGAACAGGGTTGCCAGATATAGCTGACTTTTTCCAGACAAAAAAACTGTCCATACCCTCCCAAAATACTAGATTAATATTTTATTTAATTTTAATTTACTTAAATTGAAATTAACCTACACGTAGTTACTTTAAAGATCATAATTTTTAACCATATAGCAACCAACACCAGCATTTACAGAACCACAACATATGGATCACATCAAAACGATGCTCCCTCTCACCCACACACTCCACTTATTGCTGTGTAGATTAAACTACCTATTAGAGTATGTTTTAGTTTTAGAAATGGGGTATAAAATTCATCCCATTTGGCATCTTAAGTTCTTTTGAACATAATTTGGTGATGCTTGTCAACCAGACAATGCTTTTATGTTTGATCTTGCTGTTATTTGATCGATAAAAGTGTCATGATAAGTTTCTGTGAGTGTAAGTGCAGGTGCTGCATGATGCACGCGCAGACAAAGGGGAGTTAGATTTGTCCAGGGAGTCAGATTTCAATACAACTTTCCTTCACTTCCTCTTGCGGGTTGGCATCACAGCAAGAAGGTCGCTGGTTCGAGCCTCGGCTAGGTCAGTTGGTGTTTCTGTATGGAGTTTGCATGTTCTCCCTCCGTTCGCGTTGGTATCCTCCGGGTGTTCCAGGTACAGGTGAATTGAGTAGGCCAAATTGTCCGTAGTCTATGAGTGTGTGTGTGTCTGTGGATGTTTTTCAGAGATGGGTCACGACTGGAAGGGCATTACACCAGAGGTGTCCGAACTCGGTCCTGGAGGGCCGGTGTCCTGCATAGTTTAGCTCCAACTTCCTTCAACACACCTGCAGTTTCTAGTATACCTGGAAAGAGCTTGATTAGTTGTGTTTAACTGGGGTTGAAACTAAAATATGCCGAAAAACAGCAATCCAGGATGGAGTTTGCACACCCCTGCGTTAGACAATGTGTGTCAAAGTCAGATCCTGGAGGGCCACAGCTCTGCACAGTTTTGCTCCAACCCTAATCAAACACAGCTGATCCAAATAATCAAAGTGTTCAAAAGAATCTTAAACACCTTGGTAAGTTGCATCAACTGTTTTATTAGGGTAGGAGCAAAACTGTGTAGAGCTGTGGCCCTACAGGAATTGACTTTGACACCTACAGTCAGGGTCGGATTAACACAAGTGCTAGGTGGGGCTGAAGGCCCAGGGCCCACGGAAGAAGGGGGCCCTTGATTGGCTGAATAATTAATTTGCACTATGATGTGGGAAACGCCTCTTTGCATTATTCTTTCTCTCATCAATAATCTGAAGTATTCCTTTCGGTTCGCTGCTGTTCAAAAACAGTGACGTCTGTGCTAAACTGGGGCTCAGAGCGGCTGTAGCCCAATCAGAATATTGAATAGCCCTGTTTTAGTCACCCATAAGGGTGATCAGATGTCCCAATTTTCCCAGGACAATCCGTTATTTCGCCACTACCATAAGAACCATCCAGTCAAAAGCTGACAAAGCTCGTTGTAGAACAAAAAATTTAAAGTCTTTAAGTCACTTCATGTAGAAACAGAAACTCAAATAGGCGGAATCATATGGACTCATAAGCGCAGTCTCGGCTGCGCGGCAGTTATAGCTGGACCGATGCACGCCCACACAATTCTTCCATCATGCATTATAACAGAGACAGTGGGTGGACAAATCAAATAACCTAACAGGCAGTTATCAAAATATCCATCGTTGCAGAGTATCTATTTCCCTACACTTAATAATGCAATACAGTAAGTATAACTGAACTAGTTAGAAAACAAACTTTTTAAATAAATGTTTAATTTGCCCCTTTTAAAACAACAGTAATAATCAGAGATGTATAAAGTATTAGAGACCCATACTTAAGTAAAAGTACAAGTGCTTTATCAAAAATTGACTTGAGTAGAAGTAGAAGTGCTCTTTATGCACCATACTTAAGTGGAAGTACAAAAGTATTCAACATTTTTTGTACTTAAGTATTACAAGTAGTTTATTTCAAAATTTACTACTCAAGTACTGAAAGTAAAAGTACAAGTATTGTGTAATGTAGTTATTAAAGAAAGCAGTCAAAATACACTAATTGTTTTGTTTATTTTAAATATCTTTTTGGGGTACTTGATTAAGCAGAACAAAAAGAAACAATGCTTACTGTTTTTCTCTGTAAATAGTTTCTATGGTACAAGAGCTCACATCGTCAGGCCCTTTTACCAGAAAATG